GATCAAGCTGAGTCTACCCCAAACACAGGCCAGCCAAAACACAGTTCCACTGGGGGCACCGCCGTGGAGGCCGTCAACCACAAGTCCAGCAGGTCTGCTGGCAGGTTCCGGATCAGCAACGCTGGTCAGGCCACTCCACATGCGATACTAGGGTAGCGCCCTAGTCAGGAGCCTCGTGTGATACCACAAATCACTCTCCTGTCCTCAAAACCCCAGTGGATGACTGTCTCCGACAGTCGGTCCCAGGTAAGACAATCCTTCTACTGCCACTACACTGGCAGGGTAACACACCACAGTGTTCTTCCGGGAGACGACTTCACAGCTGCTGCAGCAAGGCACAAGGTAAGGGGACGGCTGCCTCGGGTAGACTGACTCAACTTCCATCACAGCAGTCCCAGGTCGACTCTGTAAGCAGACACGTCATCAATAACAGGGACACTAAAACACCTCACTTACAGGCTCAGACACAAACGCCCGACATATCCACTCCATAGATGGCGTTGTAGTCTGAGCACCACCTCACCAGAGGTCAGCAGCGGCGGTGTTGTGAGCTGAACCGGACTGGAAACTGGCCCTTGTGGCCAGTACACCTTTGTCCTCACTAGGTGTCGTCGTCCATTTGGTGGGGGTTTCGGGAGCTGACCCACAGATGGCGCGGTCGTCACTGCTCCGTGCTCGGACGCTGGATCCGGGTTCGTAACACACATTAGTCAACATCACGAGGCTAAACAGCTCCTCATAAGAGGTGTACCCACTGTGTACGAAATCTTGTTCTGTCCAGGTGTGGATGGAGACGAGCTTGGCGTTTTGGGAGGAGCAGGCAGAGGAGGCGGCTGTCCACGTCATCTCCTGAGTACTGAACAAGTAGCAGTGGTCGCCGTTCTGTTCCCAGCCATCTGGACAGTACCGTTCATCTGCGCCACAAACATATACCTTTATATGTTTGTGGCGCAGATGAAAATGTATATATATATATATATGTGTGTGTATATCACGAAAATAAACACGTGATTAAGAATGTGACAATGTCAGACCACGGAGGAAAAATGAAACAGGAAATTTCCTTAAGTACTTTCGTATATTAAATACATCTTCAGAAGGTGACCTTCTGAAGATGTATTTAATATACGAAAGTACTTAAGGAAATTTCCTGTTTCATTTTTCCTCCGTGGTCTGACATTGTCATATATATATATATATATATATATATATATATATATATATATATATATATATATATATATATATATATATATATATATATATATATATATATATATATATGTCGTACCTAGAAGCCAGAACGCACTTCTCGGCCTACTATGCATGGCCCGATTTGCCTAATAAGCCAAGTTTTACTGAATTTATATATTTTCTCTAATTTTTTTCTTATGAAATGATAAAGCTACCCATTTCATTATGTATGAGGTCAATTTTTTTTATTGGAGTTAAAATTAACGTAGATATATGACCAAACCTAACCAACCCTACCTAACCTAACCTAACCTATCTTATAGGTTAGGTTAGGTTAGGTAGCCGAAAAAGTTAGGTTAGGTAGGTTAGGTAGCCGAAAAACAATTAATTCATGAAAACTTGGCTTATTAGGCAAATCTGGCCTTGCATAGTAGGCTGAGAAGTGCGTTCTGGCTACTAGGAACGACATATATATACATAAATATATATATATATATATATATATATATATATATATATATATATATATATATATATATATATGTCGTACCTAATAGCCAGAACGCACTTCTCAGCCTACTATGCAAGGCCCGATTTGCCTAATAAGCCAAGTTTTCCTGAATTAATATATTTTCTCTAATTTTTTTCTTATGAAATGATAAAGCTACCCATTTCATTATGTATGAGGTCAATATTTTTTTATTGGAGTTAAAATTAACGAAGATATATGACCGAACCTAACCAACCCTTCCTAACCTAACCTAACCTATCTTTATAGGTTAGGTTAGGTTAGGTAGCCGAAAACGTTAGGTTAGGTTAGGTTAGGTAGGTTAGGTAGTCGAAAAACAATTAATTCATGAAAACTTGGCTTATTAGGCAAATTGGGCCTTGCATAGTAGGCATAGAAGTGAGTTCTGGCTACTAGGTACGACATATATATATATATATATATATATATATATATATATATATATATGTCGTACCTAGTAGCCAGAACTCACTTCTCAGCCTACTATTCAAGGCCCGATTTGCCTAATAAGCCAAGTTTTCCTGAATTAATATATTTACTATAATTTTTTTCTTATGACATGATAAAGTAACCCTTTTCTCTATGTATGAGGTCAATTTTTTTTTATTGGAGTTAAAATTAACGTAGATATATGACCGAACCTAACCAACCCTACCTAACCTAACCTAACCTATATTTATAGGTAAGGTTAGGTTAGGTAAGCTAGGTTAGGTTAGGTTAGGTAGGTTAGGTAGACGAAAAAACATTAATTCATGAAAACTTGGCTTATTAGGCAAATCGGGCCTTGAATAGTAGGCTGAGAAGTGCGTTCTGGCTATTAGGTACGACATATATATATATATATATATGTCGTACCTAGTAGCCAGAACGCAGTTCTCGGCCTACTATGCAAGGCCCGATTTGCCTAATAAGCCAAGTTTTCCTGAATTAATATATTTTCTCTAATTTTTTTCTTATGAAATGATAAAGCTACCCATTTCATTATGTATGAGGTGAATTTGTTGTTATTGGAGTTAAAATTAACGTAGATATATGACTGAACCTAACCAACCCAACCTAACCTAACCTAACCTATCTTTATAGGTTAGGTTAGGTTAGGTAGCCGAAAAAGTTAGGTTAGGTTAGGTTAGGTAGGTTAGGTAGTCGAAAAACAATTAATTCATAAAAACTTGGCTTATTAGGCAAATCGGGCCTTGCATAGTAGGCTGAGAAGTGCGTTCTGGCTACTAGGTACGACATATATATATATATATATATATATATATATATATATATATATATGTCGTACCTAGTAGCCAGAACGCACTTCTCAGCCTACTATACAAGGCCCAATTTGCCTAATAAGCCAAGTTTTCATGAATTATTTGTTTTTCGACTACCTAACCTACCTAACCTTACCTAACCTAACTTTTTCGGCTACCTAACTTAACCTAACCTCTAAAGATAGGTTAGGTTAGGTTAGGTAGGGTTGGTTAGGTTCGGTCATATATCTACGTTAATTTTAACTCCAATAAAAAAAAATTGACCTCATATAGAATGAAATGGGTAGCTTTATCATTTCATAAGAAAAAAATTAGAGAAAATATATTACTTCAGGAAAACTTGGCTTATTAGGCAAATCGGGCCATGCATAGTAGGCTGAGAAGTGCGTTCTGGCTACTAGGTACGACATATATATATATATATATATATATATATATATATATATATATATATATATATATATATATATATATATATATATATATATATATATATATATATATATATTTATATATATATATATATATATATATATATATATATATATATATATATATATATATATATATATATATATATATATATTATATATAGAATGAGGTGATTTGGTGAAATGCTATGCCCAAGATTACCATCCGAGTTGCCGTCGGGGAAGTGGCTCAAATAGCCTCGGCTATCACTTCATTTGACGGCCGTGATGGTCAAGCGGATTAAGGCGCCCTGTAGTTACCAGTTGCGTTGCTTCTGGGAGTATGGGTTCGAGTCACTTCTGGGGTGTGAGTTTTCATTCGCATATAGTCCTGGGGACCATTCAGGCTTGTTCGCATTTGTGTTCCTCACGTGTGCCCCAAAGAATGAGGTGATTTGGTGAAATGCTATGCCCAAGATTACCATCCGAGTTGCCGTCGGGGAAGTGGCTCAAATAGCCTCGGCTATCACTTCCTTTGACGGCCGTGATGGTCAAGCGGATTAAGGCGCCCTGTAGTTACCAGTTGCGGTGCTTCTGGGAGTATGGGTTCGAGTCACTTCTGGGGTGTGAGTTTTCATTCGCATATAGTCCTGGGGACCATTCAGGCTTGTTCGCATTTGTGTTCCTCACGTGTGCCCCAAAGAATGAGGTGATTTGGTGAAATGCTATGCCCAAGATTACCATCCGAGTTGCCGTCGGGGAAGTGGCTCAAATAGCCTCGGCTATCACTTCCTTTGACGGCCGTGATGGTCAAGCGGATTAAGGCGCCCTGTAGTTACCAGTTGCGTTGCTTCTGGGAGTATGGGTTCGAGTCACTTCTGGGGTGTGAGTTTTCATTCGCATATAGTCCTGGGGACCATTCAGGCTTGTTCGCATTTGTGTTCCTCACGTGTGCCCCAAAGAATGAGGTGATTTGGTGAAATGCTATGCCCAAGATTACCATCCGAGTTGCCGTCGGGGAAGTGGCTCAAATAGCCTCGGCTATCACTTCCTTTGACGGCCGTGATGGTCAAGCGGATTAAGGCGCCCTGTAGTTACCAGTTGCGTTGCTTCTGGGAGTATGGGTTCGAGTCACTTCTGGGGTGTGAGTTTTCATTCGCATATAGTCCTGGGGACCATTCAGGCTTGTTCGCATATATATATATATATATATATATATATATATATATATATATATATATATATATATATGTATACAAACATCTTCCTCACAAATTTTGGTTCTGTGGAAGAAACAAGACGTCAAGGACAACCTACTTCCAATTATAATACCTTAGTGTGGCAATCCATAGAGGAAATGCCCAGTGTTTCCTTGATTCCTGCCAGCGATCTCGGGAGTTTGAAGAACCCTAATGTCTGTGAAATATTTTATTATAACTAATCTATTTTATATAATTAAGATAAACAGAAGTTGGGACGGTAGACGAAGCCAATGTACTGCATTCACGTGTAAGCTTTCAGTGTTCTTTTGAACCTCTCTGGGGATAAGAGTGCTTATTAATCCAACCAGAGATGGTGCCTCATATATACAGATATACAGTATACATGGGCACCAAGGGTGAGGACCTCACCAGAGGCACCAAGGGTGAGGACCTCACCAGAGGCACCAAGGATGCAGGACTCACCAGAGGCACCAAGGATGCAGGACTCACCAGAGGCACCAAGGGTGAGGACCTCACCAGAGGCACCAAGGATGCAGGACTCACCAGAGGCACCAGGGATGCAGGACTCACCAGAGGCACCAAGGATGCAGGACTCACCAGAGGCACCAAGGGTGAGGACCTCACCAGAGGCACCAAGGATGCAGGACTCACCAGAGGCACCAGGGATGCAGGACTCACCAGAGGCAACAAGGATGCAGGACTCACCACAGGCACCAAGGATGCAGGACTCACCAGAGGCACCAAGGATGCAGGACTCACCAGAGGCACCAAGGATGCAGGACTCACCAGAGGCAACAAGGATGCAGGACTCACCACAGGCACCAAGGATGCAGGACTCACCAGAGGCACCAAGGATGCAGGACTCACCAGAGGCACCAAGGGTGAGGACCTCACCAGAGGCACCAAGGATGCAGGACTCACCAGAGGCACCAGGGATGCAGGACTCACCAGAGGCAACAAGGATGCAGGACTCACCAGAGGCAACAAGGATGCAGGACTCACCAGAGGCACCAAGGATGCAGGACTCACCAGAGGCAATAAGGATGCAGGACTCACCAGAGGCACCAGGGAGGCAGGACTCACCAGAGGCAACTAGGATGCAGGTCTCACCAGAGGCACCAAGGATGCAGGACTCACCAGAGGCACCAAGGATGCAGGACTCACCAAGGGCACCAAGGATGCAGAACTCACCAGAGGCAACAAGGATGCAGGACTCACCAGAGGCAACAAGGATGCAGAACTCACCACAGGCAACAAGGATGCAGGACTCACCAGAGGCACCAAGGATGCAGGACTCACCAAGGGCACCAAGGATGCAGAACTCACCAGAGGCAACAAGGATGCAGGACTCACCAGAGGCAACAAGGATGCAGGACTCACCAGAGGCACCAAGGATGCAGGACTCACCAGAGGCAACAAGGATGCAGGACTCACCAGAGGCAACAAGGATGCAGGACTCACCAGAGGCAACAAGGATGCAGGACTCACCAGAGGCAACAAGGATGCAGGACTCACCAAGGGCACCAAGGATGCAGAACTCACCAGAGGCAACAAGGATGCAGGACTCACCAGAGGCACCAAGGATGCAGGACTCACCAGAGGCACCAAGGATGCAGGACTCACCACAGGCAACAAGGATGCAGGACTCACCACAGGCAACAAGGTTGCAGGACTCACCAGAGGCAACAAGGATGCTGGACTCACCAGAGGCAACAAGGATGCAGGACTCACCAGAGGCAACAAGGATGCAGGACTCACCACAGGCAACAAGGATGCAGGACTCACCAGAGGCACCAAGGATGCAGGACTCACCAGAGGCACCAAGGATGCAGGACTCACCAGAGGCACCAAGGATGCAGGACTCACCAGAGGCACCAAGGATGCAGGACTCACCAGAGGCACCAAGGATGCAGGACTCACCAGAGGGAGGGATGAGGATGACAGGGGTGCCAGCTGGCACCTCGCAGGCGTAGTGCCGGGGGACGAGACAGTCAGTTGGCACCCAGGACGACGTCGGGACAGTTAGCGCCGACTCTGCTCACACAAAACATTTATTTAAGCCATATTTTTAAAATTAATTGTTGCCTTAGTAACAGGAATCAATAGGCTTAATATTCAGCATAATAAGACGACAATTGTTTAATACATTGTTTTGGTTGGATAAATGTAAGGAGTAAAATGTCATCTTACTCTCACTCATTCACTTACCACCAATCTCAAAAAAGACACATTGTTGATCCTACGCATTGAGAGCGTCAGTTCTGTCTTGAGCCGTCATCTTGGTGAAGTTCTTACTGTCCATAGTAGTCCCGTCCGTCCAGTAAATGTTGTCATCCGGTTTACCTGTCCAAATCCAAATTACCTGTCAATTTACCAATCCACATTTCAGAGAAAGCTGTGTAAATGTTAATATTCTCTCTTTAAGTGTATGACACTTTAGTGAGAAGGTCTTCCTTATTCCTTACATGAGACAAAGTAATGAGGACTATGGCATATATCAGCCATAGAAATGGAAGATATATCGTGCCAAAGATGGGACTATATCTTTGTGGTTACCACTAAGTGAGCATTATCCTGGCAGTGACATTATCCAGCCGAGTGATCAACCCACTAAATTATATAATCACTCACTGTAAAGGCCAATCCAGAGCTGGTCTGACTCCGGGATGTGGCTGTAAAAGAAGGCGTCCTCCTGCTCAGTGTCGAGGACGACCAGGGCGGCACCGACGGCTTCGCAGGTACTCTTGGCGTCCTGCCACACCACCAGGTCCTCCACCTCCGTGTTGAAGTAGTAGCAGGAGTTCTCGAACACCTCCCAGCCCGGCAGACACGCGCCTGTGCTCACACAAATGTTCCGTTATGGTTGGGTCCTCGGTAAGTGTGTGTGTGTGTTCGCGCGCGCGGCGGAAGTGGGTACTAGCACTTAACTCAAAGTAATGATTGTAGTTGTTGGAAACAGACGAGAGCAAACTCCCAGAATCAAGCTGATAGCACAACTAACCTGTATCCGACAGCGCCCATCAAGCCAGGACCACTTACAATACCACATCAAGCGAGCACACTTACTATACCACATCAAGCCAGCACCCTCTATACCACATCAAACCAGCACCACTTACTATACCACATCAAGTAAGCACCACTTACTATACCACATCAAGTAAGCACCACTTACTATACCACATCAAGTCAGCACCACTTACTATACCACATCAAGCCAGCACCACTTACTATACCACATCAAGCCAGCACCACTTACTATACCATATCAAGCCAACACCACTTATTATACCACATCAAGCCAGCACCTTCTATTACCACATCAAGCCAGCACCCTCTATTACCACATCAAGCCAGCACCACTTACTATACCACATCAAGCCAGCACCACTTACTATACCACATCAAGTCAGCACAACTTACTATACCATATCAAGCCAACACCACTTAAAATACAACATCAAGCCAGCACCACTTACTATACCACATCAAGCCAGCACCCTCTATACCACATCAAGCCAGCACCACTTACAGAACCACATTAAGCCAGCACAACCTACAATACCACATCAAGCCAGCACCACTTTCTATACCACATCAAGCCAGCACCCTCTATACCACATCAAGCCAGCACCACTTACAGTACCACATCAAGCCAGCACCACTTACAGTACCACATCAAGCCAGCACCACTTATTATACCACATCAAGCCAGCACCGTCCAACCACATCAAGCCAGCGCCACTTACTATACCACATCAAGCCAGTATCACCTATACCACATCAAGCCAGGTCCACCTACAATACCTCATCAAGCCAGTACCATCTTCTATACCACATCAAGACAGCACCACCTACAATACCACATCAAGCCAGCACCACTTATTATACCACCTCAAGCCAGCACCGTCTATACCACATCAAGCCAGAGCCACTTAATATACCACATAAAGCCGGGTATCACCTATACCACATCAAGCCAGCTCCACCTACAATACCTCATCAAGCCAGCACCACCTTCTATACCACATCAAGCCAGTACCACCTACAATACCACACCAAGCCCGCACCGCTTATTATACCACATCAAGCCAGCACCGTCTATACCTAATCAAGCCAGCGCCACTTACTATACCACATCAAGCCAGTATCCCCTATACCAGTTCAAGCCAGCTCCACCTACAATGCCACATCAAGCCAGCACCACCTTCTATACCACATCAAGTCACCTACACCTACAATACGTCATCAAGCCAGCACCACCTTGTATACCACATCAATCCAGCCCCACCTTCTATACCACATCAAGCCAGAACCACATTCTATACGGCATCAAGCCAACACCACTTATTATACCACATAAAGCAAGCACCACTTTCAATACCACATCAAGCCATAACAACCCACTATACCACATCAAGCCAGCACCACCCTTTATACCACATCAAGCCATAACAACCCACTATAACACATCAAGCCAGCACCACCCTTTATACCACATCAAGCCAGCACCATTTTCTATACCACATCAAGCCCGAACCACATTCTATACAACTTCAAGCCAGCACGACCCTTTATACCACATCAAGCAAGAACTACCTTCTATGCCACATCAAGCCAGCACCACTTCCTATTCCACATCAAGCCAGCACCACCTTCTATAGCACATTAAGCCAGCACCAATTACTATTCCACATCAAGCCAGCACCACTTACTATAACTCATCAAGCCAGCACCACATATACCACATCAAACCAGAACAACCTACAACACCACATCAAGCCAGCATCACCTACTATACCACATCAAGCCAGCACCACCTTCCATACCACATCAAGCATGCACCACTTACTATACCACATCAATCCAGCACCACTTACTATACCACATCAACCTAGCACCACATTCTATAAAATATCAAGCCAGCACGACCTTCTATACCACATCAAGCCAGCACCACCTTCTATACCACATCAAGCCAACACCAATTCTATACCACATTAAGCCAGCACCACCTACTATACAACATCAAGCCAGCACCACCTTCCATACCACATCAAACCAGCACCACGTACTATACCACATCAAGCCAGCACCAAATCTATACCACATCAAGCCAGCACCACCTATTATACCACATCAAGCCAGCACCAACTTCTATACCATATCAAGCCAGCACCACCTTCCGTACCACATCAAGCTAGCACCACTTACTATACCACACGTCAAGCCAGCACCACCTTCTATACCACATCATACAAGCATCACCTTCTATACCACATCAAGCTAGCACCAACTTCTATACCACATCAAGCCAGCACCACCTACTACACCACATCAAGCCAGCACCATCTACTATACCACAACAAGCCAGAACCAACTTCTATACCACATCAAGCCAGCACCACCTACTATGCCACATCAAGCTAGCACCACCTCCTATACCACTTCAAGCCAGCACCACATACTATACCACATCAAGCCAGCAGCACATTTTATACCACATCAAGCCACCACCACCTACTATACCACCTTAAGCCAGCACCACCTTCAATACCACATCATGCCAGAACCACCTTCTATACCTCATCAAGCCAGCACCAACTTCTATACCACATCAAGCCAGCACCACCTTCCATACCACATCAAGCCAGCACAACTTACTATACCACACGTCAAGCCAGCACCACCTTCTATACCACATCGTGCCAGCATCACCTACTATACCACCTTAAGCCAGCACCACCTTCAATACCGCATCAGTAGTAGGGATGACACGCCACAGGTAATTTTTTTTTTGGGGGGGGGGGGGGAAATTACCTGTGCGGGCCAGGGTTTTTAGGTCCAAAATCACCTGTGCGGGCCAGGGTTTTCAGGTCAAATTACCTGTGCAGGCCAGGGTTTTCAGGTAAATTTTGAAAATTACCTGTGCGGGCCAGGGTTTTCAGGTCCAAAATCACCTGTGCGGGCCAGGGTTTTTAGGTCCAAAATCACCTGTGCGGGCCAGGGTTTTCAGGTCCAAAATCACCTGTGCGGGCCAGGGTTTTTCAGGTCCAAAATCACCTGTGCGGGCCAGGGTTTTTCAGGCGAATTTGGGGAGTCACAGATTTGGAAGTAAGGAGTTCTTATGAGAAAAATAATTTCCGAGATCTTAGAAGTTTGTTAAAAAGTTCTTATAATGAAAATAAGTATGAAAATCTTAAAGAAAATTTTTAGAAAATATCGTGTTTGTGTCACAGCATTTCCAGGTGAACTCTACGGACATGTTTTGCCTGTTTTCAACTTATGAAAAAGTTACCTGTGTGAGCCATGGTTTTCATAACATTTAGTTTTATATCCAGTTACAGCTATTTCACCTGTAAAGACCAAAATTGAACAGAGACCAGTTATAGACAGAATTTTGTCAGAGAGCATTTTATACCTAAAAATGAATAGAGTCTACTTGAGAGCAAAATTAGTTAGAGACAGTTTTAAGCTCAAATTTCATCAGAGTCCAATTATCAACAGAAATTCGCCAGAGTCTACTTTGAGAGCAAAATTAGTTAGAGACAGTTTTAAGCTCAAATTTCATCAGAGTCCAATTATCAACAGAAAATTTGCCAGAGTCCACTTTGTGAGCAAAATTAGTCAGAGACAGTTTTAAGCTCAAATTTCATCAGAGTCCAATTATCAACAGAAATTCGCCAGAGTCCACTTTGTGAGCAAAATTAGTCAGAGACAGTTTTAAGCTCAAATTTCATCAGAGTCCAATTATCAACAGAAATTCGCCAGAGTCTACTTTGAGAGCAAAATTAGTCAGAGACAGTTTTAAGCTCAAATTTCAGAGTCCAATTATCAACAGAAAATTCGCCAGAGTCCACTTTGTGAGCAAAATTAGTCAGAGACAGTTTTAAGCTCAAATTTCATCAGAGTCCAATTATCAACAGAAATTCGCCAGAGTGTACTTTGAGAGCAAAATTAGTTAGAGACAGTTTTAAGCTCAAATTTCATCAGTGTCCAGTAATCTGTGAAAATTCGTCCAGTCCAGTCCAGTTCTTGATCGAAATTCATCAGAGTCCAGTTTTCTAGCAAAATTCGTTAGAGTCCAGTTTATACCGAAAATTCGCCAGAGTTCACTTTGTGCCAAATATTCAGAGTCCAGTTCATGATCAAAATTAATCAGTCCAATTAAAGACCCAAATTTTGACAGAGACTAGTCACTAGTTACGAAAGTGTTGAAAAAGTTACATTTGACTATTTTAGTTGAGGAAAGACAAAGAAACATGATGAAGTAACTATTTTTTAGTTGACTGATGAATTCTTTTAGTTAAGGAAAAAGACAAAACATGATGAAGGAGACTATTTTTGTGCTCCCCAAAGTATAATGTCAGTTAAGAACAGCGATGAAAGATATCTTTGGTTATTTTTTCTTACTTGACAAAACATAATTTTAGTTAGGAACAATGATGATGAATATGACTTTTTCTGTTGATTGATGGATAATTTTAGTTATGAAATGACAATGAAACATGAAGAACACGGTTATTTTCTGATGACTAGGGAATAAGTTTAGTTATGAACAGTGTTGGAAAGATTCCTTTGACAATTTTTGGTTGATTGGATAATAAGTTAGTTGAGAAATGAGGAAAGTGACTATGTTTTAGTTGATTGGCTAAAGATTTTTAGTTAAGAAGTTACAAGAAAGGTTTGTCTTTGTAAATTTGGATCTGAATAAAGTGTAGATTTGTTTAAGAACGGGGTTGGTGGAACTATTAAGTTGACTACGAGAATTACTTTGACATAGTTTGCAAATAAAAACTGGGTGACTAAAATTGTTGAGGGAACTGTATTGCAGT